TACTTCCAAGGTACTTTTGAGTCTATTATCATGAATGATTTTTCTTAGTATTGAAATAAGTATTATTTTTTTGGCTAGTGTCAAAGCATTTCCGAATATTGAATTCGAGCCATGAGCATGAGTTCTTCCATTGCATTTTGATGTACTTATGTTTTTTTATGACATCGTCAATTTGTAGATCTTGAGAGGTGTTCTGCAATTTTTTTTCTAATGTGGTCCCTACAACACAAGAATTGGTCCTGCTATTTGCAAAAAAAAATTTGTGGTTATATTTTTTCCTTTGTAAATCCACTAGAAATTGATGGATTGCTATTGCCATCATCTGACAAGTCACTTTATCATTATTAGTATTTGAATTGGAAGCTTGACGTATCTCACGTGGGCTTGCTTGTTAAATTGCTCATATTCTTTCTTGTCAAATACCAGCCTGCAAATTATCAAATTTTTTTCTGAATTACTGATTAGTCACGTATCATTATTGCTGAGGAATGAATGCTGATATTTTGCTTTTTCCGCAACGGGACTTGTCGCAAGCCTGCCATGCCACTATAATTTCCAATTCATTCATCATTATCATAGGTTGAGGAGCAGCATGGCCGACTCCATTCTTGTTACAGATTCAAAACCATACTCGTATCCTAATACACACGAAGAATCTATTGCTCTCTCTAGTCGAACAGCGACAATATCCATTGGCCGAAAGCGAAAGGTAAAATCCTCTACAAGTTGGAATGTAAAATCATTACTAATTGGTGAAAGATTTCAATCAATCTCAAATCATCTGCTTGGAATCTATAGGTTGTTAGAATAGGAGGTGCACTACATCATTTTTGGCCAAAACTGAAAAAAACACATTTTCTCGTCATCTCCTCGTAAAACACAATATGTCTAAAGGTCAATAATCAGACGATGCTCTGCAGACATTTTTTGGAGTAGATGGATGGCGATTCTCTCACGCTGGATTGTTGATTGTATGGCGTGATGCTTGACTATATGGTGATTACATTTCATTGGATTGATCAAGAGTGGAAACTTCAATCTATTGTGGTGGAATTTTGCTATTTTTCACCTCCACATATTCATTTTCAACCTCCACATAATCAACACATTAAATTGAGCTTGATTTTTTCAATGGTGAAAGATTCCAATATGTGGTCCAAGATCAAGGCCGGTACATGCGACAGCGGCGGAGAGATGCCTCCAGCCATAATCATTGTGAGACGGAATCTGAATCATCAATACTTCTTTTGTTTGAAAAATGATTTTCATATCCGATGCATTTGTCACGTAATCAATCGTGATATATGTGATGCTACACAATTTGTCAAAAAAGAATTGCAAATGCTAGTTCATATACTCAAAGCTGTTCGTTTATATTTTGCTATCCACGTCAACTATCTAGAATTGGTTGTTGTGCTGGACGTTTTCAAGAACCATGTTGAAGTTCCAAGTCTGGAGTGGAGACGCGCTGAAATTTTATGTTCATCATGATCGACAAGTCGTTTCAATATCATGATGTATTTTCAGTGCTCTGTAACTCCAAAAAATTTTGTAATCGATTGGACATTATGCCTTTGTTCGACATGAATTGATGTGTTTTCAAATCATGCAAAGACTTTTCGCAAACTGTGTACCTTTGCACTTTCTTTGCTAGTGAACGTGGCTACGTTTCACTTTCTCTTCGGCCCCTTATCTACAAGCATTTTCTTACATTGTGTATAAAAACCTGTTATGGACATTTAGACACCGGATTTACCACTCTTATAGTCAAACAAGCTGCTGCCGCCATAGAGCTCAAGTTGCTTAAATATAGTGTCAATTTGAATTGTCAAGACTTCAAAATTGCTTTGCTTCTTGATCCTAGATTCAATAATGCGTACTCTGAAACAATTATACTCAAAGATTCAATTCATTTTGATGGTGAATTATGACTTGTGTTCGGAGGAGCTGCCACCTCCAACTTTTGATGTATTTGATCTATTTGCTGGAGAGGGAGACAATGCCATTGAAAATGTTGCACACACTAACAAGGTCGACGACTTCTTCATGCTCACGGCAAAAGTGTATCGTCACGTGTCTAAAGTATTGCTATGGTGGAAACAGTACTGGAATCGTTTCTCGACTTTATCCAGGATGATCAAGTACACGTTGATAATTCAAGGTTCTACTGTGGCATCTGAATCGGGGTTATCGGAGAGTAAAGGGTTTGTTCTTACGGATAAATCTATATTATCAGACAATAGCATTGAGATGATGATGAAATTAAAAAGTTAGAACAATTTATTCCAAGAGCAAGCTACTCAAGATCAATTTAGATTGCATAATTCACTATTTTTCCAAAAAAATTTGACTTATTACGAAAGCAAGTTTTTCAAAATTAATAAAAATTTAGAGTACATCATTTATTATTTTTCCAAAAAATTTGCTTTATTCTGAAAAGAAGTTTCTCAAAATTAATAAAATTTAGACATCATAATTCATTTTTTTTCCAAAAAATTTGGACCAATTACCGGGTGTACCTTTCTTTTTATGAACCGGTTAAAGGACCGTGACCAAGCCTGGTCAAGCGGCCTTGATCCAGGGTTTTAGGCTTTAGGTCCTTGTCTATGGTTATAATTGATGTGTCCACGCGCTTTTGCGTTACTTCGTTCAACAAGTAGCAGCGGCACGCACTCCGACACCGACTATTCTTCCTTTCTCGACGTCACAATCTCCATACTGTAAGGTCAAGCTCTACCACAGATTCAAGCACAAGTATCCATCCGTTAGGCAGCCCGCACGCTCGCATAAGCTCGATCTCGAATGCGTCTTTCAGAGTTCTTGACACCAACCTGTCCGAGAATAACGTCGATTGAAAACTCGTGTTACAACAGCAAGCCCTTTTGGCCACACGGAGGAGTACGGCCAGTCAACTTGATATCAACTAAATTAGTGGTTACTCGCATTGTAAAAATTTATCTATTTCATTGTGACTGAAGATGAGTATAGTTGACATCAAATTTGCTGTATATGAGAAACTTTTGTATATATCTCATCTTGTTTAACTAAAGTTGTGTGATCTCACTTTATGACGAAATTTTTCGCATCTGGCTGGAATTTTGTAGTCAATAGTGAACTCTTAGTTTTGTATTAAGTATAAGAAACCACTGTTTTCCAGACGTATTTAAGAAAAAAAATCTTAGTACGCTGGTCAAAATCAAGATATCCCTGGATCTCATCTCAATGAACCAGTTAGCTCAATTTTAATAAACTGTGATTTAAATTTTGTTAGGAAAATTTGCTAGTTTCTTTTCAAAAGCAAATAAATTCCTTGCATACATCTACAAAAATCGTTGAGTTGGTCGAAACACATGTTCTTTCCGATCCAATTGCTCTTGCTTTGTAATTGTAAATATCAATTTAACAACTAGTTCAGCTATGTCTTTTACAAGTTTTATTACTCTAATTATTGTCATATCATCGCCTCCATAGTTGTCCAAGCTTTCTTCCTTGATGAAGTTTGCAAATAATCTCTTCATGGTTTGTTGGTTATTGGACACATATTTCTTTATATATATCACAAATTGATGGGTAATATGTTAATTTCCGAATATAATCTTGACGTAAAAGTCATCAAATTTTTTATTCAGATAATACATGATGACTAGATTTTCTTTTTGGGATATAAACCCGCTTTACCTCCACTGGGCTTGTCTCTTGGACATGACTGTCCATGAATCACATCGCTTGCGTGATCAATCTGCAGTTTTGTAAATAATCTCTGTAAATATTCTAAGCTATAATTTCATAAATTATAGTCCTAGTAAAAGAAAATTCTTGTTACTTCAGTCTTTTACTACTGACATATTGTGAACTATACCTCTCTCATCACTCACATCACCTCTCTATCAATGTCCAATTTACTCTAAGATCTAAAAGATCTATAGGAGACTTCGAATCTTTGAGTTCTTAGACCAAGAACATAATTTTGTCACTCTTAAGCCGCATGGAATTAAAGGGTCTTAGCTAAATTTCTTAGTCACTCAGGTTGAGATTTCCATCCCACCTCACTAGATGGTGGTAAGATTCAGGATCATACTCCTTGTTTCACCAATGACTCGCAACTGAAGCGTCTAGTCTCTTCTACTGGATGGTGCTAAGAATCCATTCCTGCATGCAATCTGCCGTCTTCCAGTGTGAAGAGCAAGTCATTCACCTGCGATGTGGAAGTACCACCAGGCATGGCACATGTGAATTCAACTGCCCGCTTGGTTACCCTTCTAATCTTTCTTTATGTACCAGGCTTCCTCGCAGACAATCTTTCCTAACTTCATTCATTGACTCAGAAGCAAGGTGTTGTGCTTTTGAATATCTACCATAGTCGTTTTGAACTTCTTGCTCTTGCTCTAAATATCAGCTACATATTTGCTTATGAGCACTATTAGAAGCAGGTTCCATCCCACAACGGAATTCTCTAGTAGTGGGTTAGAGGCACACTCTATGCCGAGCTTAGGCATAGAGTGTGCCTGGCAGGCTGCGTGAAATCCTTGGACTGGCGCACTGCCACTGGAGACGGACTATTCCAGACGTAAGTCTGGGCAAACAATAGAGCCGTGAAGTCAACTCGAGATGCGGTCGATAGGCCTCAGAAGAAGATCTTGCGGGATTGGAACTACAGTACAAACCTCTCAGAAAGAGCGAAAAGAAGATACTGCCACCTTCCAAGCTCTTTCGCTTCCCACTTGCGGAAAATATAGATATATACATACGTTCCCTTCTGTTGCGATCTCCGTTGCAATAGACTATTGCTCAGTTTTCGTTAAAGAGGAATTTTTTTTTCAAAATTTACCAATGAACCACTCAGAACTCTTGTAAGAAGTCTATGTACATGGTTCGCAGATTTTCTCCTATCTGAGTTTGTAATAATATTGTCTACCTCGAGTGCATGTGCTTTTAGAGTACCAGCGTGCATCATTGGATATTCAAAATAAGAGATGAGATCAGTTCCAAAGAACTAGGCTCAAACGTTGAAAGAGAATGACTCCTCCAAGATATAATTATAATATTCAACACGCAATTCTTGCCTGAGATAAAGTAAAGCTTTGGAACCATATACTGTATAATAGCCTCACGTCAAGGGACGTGAAAACTATATCGTCACAAAAGGGTGAGATCATGGTGTTATTCATATTTTTGTATCATTACAAACTCTCCAAATAACCGCCGGGGGATTTGTTCCAGGTCTAAACCTTCGATCCAACCCTGACCTACCACCACACCAGGGCCAACAGCTCGAAGATAATCACAAAGCTTGTCATTGAAAGGAGGAAGATGCGTCACTGCAAAATCCAGCAAAAATTGTAAGTTGAGTCCACGTTTTAGAAGTCAATACTCTGATTCTAATTCGGATGCTACTTATTCTTAAAACAAGCTATAATATATATCCAATCCATCCACTGTCTGGCAGCATTCAAGTTTGGCAGCTAGTGCTAACTTACCAACGGAAAAAAACAGTACCACTTTGCATTGGCTTACAGATGTTAACATACAAATCTAAGACGCACTCTTAAAAACTCTACGACTTTTCAAGAAAAACGACAAGGACCACAGCGAAGTTGTTATGACATGCTCAAATGACCTGGCACAAATGCCAGAGGATAGACAAACCTGGCTGAGGAAAGCCTGAAGGAAGTGATCCTTTCAGATGCAATTGACCGTCTCCATACTCAAAAACAAGGTCACAAAACTCGTCAGTCGCCATCACTTGGTCGACTTGCTGCACCTCAAAATATAGAGGAGCTACTTTCCCTTGAATGCCATGGAGCAAATAACCTCCTGCACATCAAATAACCCTCATGAACTCAAAAGTTGACATTAAAAAGTAAATGGATGAAGGTTCTCTCTTCATATTATGATGTCGATAGTATACTACCCTTTGACGCAGTTGTGGGCTAGTATTCCTATTCGACGTTCCTACTACTACTTTCTCGTATGGGCCCTTATGTTGTGGGGCTCACACCACTTACTATCAAGAAGGCGGCTACCTGAAATTTTCATATGAATTTCTCATATATGGATTTACATTTCGGCATTCTACATTACAGCTCAGTGAAAGGAATCATCCTTACTCACCCGTTTTCACCCTCCCGAACACCTTTCCGCTCTTACTAAAAAATACCTGCAGAAAGTTGCAGAACTGAGAATAAGTTTTTTTGAGCATTAAGGTCATTAAATTTACGACATAAAACTGTCATCGATTACATTATCTTGGTTCATATACGAAGAAGTTGTAGTCAAGGCAAGACATGGACGTCATAATGAACTATGAGACCGGAAACTTTTGACTCCGACCAAACTTGATATAACATTACCTTTTGAAATCTGCTGAACGGGGTATAGTACCAAGGTACTGACGATCAAACGCAGGAATATGCACAAGAAACAATATGCATTAAAATAAACGTTTTCTTTTCATTTTACCAGAAAACCTTAGTCTATAAGGTATATAAAGATCGAACTTTCATGAGCATTACAAGGGACAGAACTCTATGCGGTACAACTTCTACTTTGTATACACAAAGGAACCAATTCAAAAATTTTTGACTTCTGAAGAGGATGAGATTGACCATACCAAGCACACGCCATGCCTCTGGAGGTTCAAACCGCAAACACCGTAAAACTAAGCACTGAACACAAAATCAACTATGCATTGGTTTAGGTTCTTCACGGCATTTGGACATAGGAAGGGGTTGTCTACCATTTGTGACTCTTCCATCCCAAACAATGGGCTTGCCTGGGTTTTGTAATGCAGGTTTGGAAATTAAACCTCCGGCATCCTCCACAAAAAGATCTGGATCGTCGTACCTCAAACCGGCTATATCCCACAATTTGGTTATCTGCCTGTAATACAATTATGTGAATGAACCACACTCTTTCATGTCGAGCAACACTGTAACAGTTACTCCACAAAGGGTGAATTTCGAAACTTTACTATGCAGGTATGCGCCACCAAAATTCTTTTGACGCATGGCAAACTGTTTTAGGAAACAGGGCTTTGCAAACTCCTTTGCGAAACATCTACTTGCCTCCCAAGTTTCGGACTAGCACTCTTGGCTCTAAATGGTTCCATACAGAACATGCCAGCAATCAAATTATTCGTCCGTATGGATTTGTCAAACTACAGGGCGTTTTCAAACCTTAACACCCCACGCTTTTCTGTTGAAAACAATCCAATTTCATGGACTCAAAGAAGAATTGCATCTGCCTACTTCCCGAAAATCATGAACACAAACATTATGAGTTTGGGCAGAATACCTCGGTAGTAGTAAATCTAACAATCTATGCCGACGCTCCTCAGGGATGTCACCAATTTTCTTCCTGGCAGAGAATGGTGTTCATGAGTGTATTATACATTAAATCTTGCAAATGCGATTCCCATTACAGATAAAGGCTGCAATCTAGAATAGAGATGAGCTAGAAGCATCCAAGCAGTTTGTGACTCCCAACTATGAGGAAGATCCACATCGTAAAGATGAATTCCCCCCGAAAGTCAGACGTGAGAGACTGCCTGGACAATTACCAGAGAAAGGCAGCATGATTGTAATTGAAAGACTGGTGAGGACGCAAGTATGTTGGCGGCTCCAGAAGAGAGATCACATCGAGCTCGTCAAGGTAGACTTTTTGACCATTCTCGAGCAGTCGGAACGGATCCTCGCCTTCAGGAATCTCCCTTCCTGAAGCTGGGACTGTTTTCTTCCTGGGTCTTTGTTCCTGCTGAGCGTAATTCGCTGGATTTTTCACGGAGATATCATCCGACATAGAGCTTCCATTGAAAGTCTCCGCAGCTCTGTCGACTCCTCCTCCCGGCCTGCCATTGGTCGAACCCGGAGCAGAGCACACAATTCTGACCTGCAGCCGCCGAGCTCTGCCACCTGCTGCTGGCGGCCGGAATGGGGAGCGAAATTTACATCCTGGGCCAACTGATTCAAGCCAGACACAAAGTTGAATCGGGCCGTCAATTGAGATTCGGCCAATTCCGCAAGCCGCAAGCAGCTGAGGAATCTCAAGAGGAGTTTCAAAGGGCCCTGTCTGGTTCTCTGCAATCCTCGACTCAAACGGGACGCAAGAAATCGCAATCTCACCGCATACATGGTTCTACTGAGGGTAGCTGGATTGAAGCATACCGGGGATAGACCGACTGCAGCAGGCGACTTGAACATCGAACATTGCGACAGCAACCATACAGGGTCCTCGCAGACTGCACGAACTCCCCGAAATCCCCGAAACAGAGAGCAGTGAACAGAAGTGGTGACCGAGGTCGTAGGTCTGATGAGTCTAGCACATCTCGCTATCCTGACTAGCAGCACAATGTGCGGGCAGAGGGCCGAGGGTCGACGAGCGTTGACCTCGTGGTGATCTCGGCACGCACATTGCTGCGCGACGATGACATTTGGCACTGTTCGTTTTCTCTAGCTCCGTGGCCAGCCATGGCTTTCCCCCAAATCCACAACCAGGAACCTCGGAGACGAGAGGGCACCTTAGGGTTTAATGGCGGAAGGGGTTTACTTTTGAGGAGCATTAACCCTAAACACCGTGCGAGCCTACGTTGGAAGACGACGGACCGTGTGCTGCCAAAAAAGCACGAGGTTCTTGTTTCTCGAGTCCCTATTTTGTCCACCGAAACGCACACCGGCGCCCAGATTATGCTGCTCAGCCCGATCTCTCTTGGATCTCGAAAAGCCACTATTTTCTACAGATGTCCTCGATCCATGTGCTTTGAACAGCGGCGTCCACCATCAGCATCATCAGCCTCAATTCGTGCCAATTTACTAAACCGGCATCACATGCGCTCCCAGAGATTTCACCCTCGCCCGAAGGTTATCGTGTCGTGTCGTGTACCAGCGCGAACGAACGACGCGAAAAGCGAAAGGCTCATAGACAAATAGGGGGCATGGATGGCTAGAGCTCGACGGGACAAAGAAGCTGGTTTCTCGGTGGCCAGAGACCAGATTACTACTCGATTTGGTGGGCATCGACAACCACTGGCTGTGAAGCGAGAGGGAGAGAGAACGAGAGAGGGTTGGTCGCTTTTCCATGTAGCACTCTGTCCAGATCGAGGGCGATAGACGTGTACGAAAAGCCATGGCTGTTTCGAGACGATCGGGAGTCAATTTACTCGAGCAGGGCCGGAAGACGGGCCGGAGGACTGTAGTATGCATTCGAGGCGATCCGGGGTAGCAATACTCCAGCACCGGGGCGATGGACGCTGTCGAGAAGCTGTGGTGATTTCATGAAGATCGAGGCCGGGGGAGTGGTGGCACTGGAGCAGGTCGTCGTCGGTGGACTGGATTTTCTGCAGGAGTCAGAAGAGGAGAAGATTTGAGAGGCCGGCCGTCGAGCGGTGGACCGGATCTGACTTTCCACGACAATCCTTGACGATGGCAGAAGCCGCGACACGGCCTGAGACATACATTCTTCTGCACCATCAGGACCGGATATGGCGACGAGGCCAGCGAGAGCTGGTCTTGATGCGCAAGGCCCATCGAGGCAGTCGGGGACGACGGTGCGCTTGGGAAGTGGCGTCCGGCGAGAGAGAGCTGGTCGTCGTTGGGGACTCGCCGCTGGCACGAGCTCAGGAGAGAATCCGGCGAGCCCGACCCAATCACACATGGCAGCCATCAGACGGAGCGGAATCCGCGCAAGTCAAAGCACACAATCCAAATTGACGATCCTTTTGGACTCTCGGCAAATCGTTGTTCATTCCTCGAGATCGTTGCGAATATCCATCGTATGCGGCCTATTCTCCTGAGGCAAGGCGCGCACCACTGTTGCGCCCCTCCCTCCCCGAGCTGCTGTCGTACCCATCGTCCTCATTCCGTCGCACATCATTCACGGGGACGATCCAGCCGCGAGCGTGATTGTTGTCAGCCTCATGCCTCCGTCGCCCTCCCGCTCTGCTGCTGGATGCCTTTTACCCACCGCCAGCACTCATCACTAACGACACACACAGCTCTCGCAGCTTGTCTGGCTCCTGGCATCATGGCCCCTTCTTGAGCCTCCCTTTCCTGTCACATCTTGTGACGAGCAGCAGCAGCAGCTGCATCCTTATACATTCTGTCTTATACATTCCAGCTCCGGGGGTACACGAGAGCTCATAATATTCTCGGCCTCTTCGGTAGCAGACATGCCTTTCTCTCGCTCCTTCAGTGGCTTGTCCAGATGAGTACAGTTTGTTTGCCATGCGGAAAGGGAACGTACATTCACGATCATGCACCGACCGACTCTGCCAGGATCTCGTTGTGACCGATTCCCCTGGACGAAGCAACGATTTGGCCAAAACGAGTGTGAAGCGAAAACCAGCGGTCAGAGTGGGAGTGGTGGTGGCATGTGCAGGAATTGCGTCCAATTTTGAAGAATGTGTGTTTTAGAATGAGCTGCACCACGTTCGACCACTGGCACTACTCCAGTACTGCACTGCACTCGGAAACTGGTTACGTCGATCTCTCCCCGAAGGAGAGAACTAATATATGTATACATATATATATATATGAGAATGGAAGTATTATTACAGCTGAGTGTCCAGAAACGAGGCAGCAGGGAATGGCTCGCCGGTGGGAGACTGTTACAAGAGATGTTAGGGTGAGACATGAGAACAAGCTGAGTAAAGGTGGATGTGGATTTGGTTCAGTGACATCAACAGGCTTTTGATGACGGGGAGCTAGAAAGTGAGTGCATGGACGACCTTGCAGAAAAGAAGCTGCGGATAAACGCGGGAACGTCAACCCTCTCCCAACCTTAGCTTCACGTGCCCAAGTTACTCTCACGACTGTCCGTGCACTCGTAAAGCTTGACTTCATCCATAGAACCTGGTAAGCCTGAATCTCCAGCAGCGAGATTGCAAAAGTGCAATGAACACGTCAAAATCCATCACTGTCGACTGGATCCTGGCCAGGCATGCAAGCAAAGACATGCATTCAACAAAACTCTTTGCATGTGGACTGTACATGCACACTATTCAAAAGGCCCACTGTTCTTGACAATGTATATTGATTGCAAAAGTCCATGGCTGTTTGACTATGTCCATCGGAAGTAGACCGCACAGTGGGCTCAAAGGACGCACAGCTACTACCCTCCACAAGCATTGCTTCGATCTACGTAGTGACTGTGATTGCGAAGAAGAGGCAACTCATATCGCTCGTTTTGGGGCTGGATTCCTCCATTAACTCGAGACTTGTGATTGAGAAGCTTCTACACGCAAATGGCAAGAATACTTGTTGAAAACCCAGGGGCTGTGAGGTAGTGCTCACACAGCTGGCCTTCATCAGGAAGATACCTTTACTGATTGACAATAGCAAACCGAATTCACTATATGGAACAAATCACGCGATCTTAAATATGTTGGCAACTGTGCGATTACGACTGAGCGGAGAATGATTTTCGCGACGTGATCAGATCGGTAGCCTGAAACCAACGAGAGCTACTTTCGCGGAGTGGCTCAACAAAGCTCCCTCGGAATGCTTTGGTCATAAACATCCGAAGCTGTTCACCACTGATAAGAATTTTCTGCTCCTGGCAACGGCTCCGCCTCGTGGGCACTGTAAGCTGTGATTTTACGTATCCTCAGTAATTTGGTGGAATGTGCCATGACAACATATGGGCATGCACATCAAGGGCCCAAAAATGCAAGCCATGATTACTTCCACAGAAATTTCACAGCTGCAAGAGCATGAGAACGAAGTCCACACTGAAGCTGCACAAGTGCAATGCGAGCTTGGCATTGACTTTGGGCAAATCTCACCTCATTACCAGGCCCGCACTGGATGGCATCCCACAACTCAGTGCTGGGCAACAACCAAAGTCGACGAGTCTTGTGGGGCGGAAACCTCACCGAGCAACATTCGTTCTACTGATTCAGATTCAGATCCACTCCTTCGATGCAGTTGAAAACCTCCATGACTGAGACCAGACCGAAGATAGCATGTAGACTATGTTGGTCAGAGAAAGGACGGACGATAACTTAGCAGCTGGCTGGTAAGTAACTGCTATCATCATGATCTTTCCCACAACACCCGTTTACACGAGCGATGCAGTGGCAGAAACGCAGAAAAGGAGACCAGTGCTGGGAAGGAGGCCCAACCTGGATCTAGAAGAGTTTTCTCCTTTCCTCCTCTCTAAGTCCTTGCCCTCTAAAACACGAGGGTACGAGTGGTTCTTCTCTTACAAATCAACGACTGGCAGTTGCTGTGCATTACAGTTGAGGTGGCCTTCTACTTACACACAAACTGCAGTGCTCCTCCTGTCTGCCATGGCAACAGGCAGGCAGGCAGGCAATACACATGTTGGAGAGGTGCAAAGGAAAGGATTGGAAGCGTTGACTGAGCTGATGCATGCCAACACATGCTCATGTCATGCCAGCGGCTGAGGCCTGCAGCGGAGGAACGAGACGACGTCCGAGAGGGAGCGAGGGAACGTAAACATGGATGGCCTGAAATTAGTCGGCGGAGATTTACTGTCCAAAATAGCATGTGTCATGACACTTTGATGCCAGACTTACTTTTCATGATCATAGGGACCCCGGCACATGCTGCTGCTGCACCAGTTCACATGAAAGTTTTCATGACAGCTCTGAATGAAATAAATATCTAACGCAAATTTACTACACAGCTCTCATACGTTTACATTCTATTGGTGTCTCTGACTTTGAGCTAACCAATTTGGGTGTCTCGATTGATAAGAGAACCCATCGATGTTCAATCCTAGGTTTAAGTTGATTCTGCCTGATCTGGATTTGTCGTCCTTGGGCGCTAGGCCCGCTACGTTCTGAGCTTTCTTCGCTTGGATACTTCTCGCAGCCTCGTGTAATTTTTGCTTCGAGGCGTTCAGTGCCTTCAGAAGGCAGTTGTCCGAGCCGTGGTCCGCATTCTCGTTCGCTCCCCGGCCTCGACACGATACCATCGCAGGCAAGGCCGCCGTCGCTCGTGCCAGAAGCTCCAGCTGCCCTGACTTGGAAAATGTCCGTAAACCCGAAGGATTGAACAGTTCATTTACATGCTTGGGTTCGAGAATCGGTGGTTTTCGCGCACAAGGGTACGGCGACGGACCTGATACATACAGCACAGTCCCAGTGTCAGTGTTGGACGCAATCCAAGCTCACTCGGCAAATGCATGTACACACTGCATGGGCCTTCATGAACATCGAGCAATGGAAACGAGGGAGCCAGCTTCCACTGAATGGTGCGAGGTACGAGGTATGGACGACAGACACTTCGGCTGCTATCCAGCATGATGCCATGCGGTGGAGGATGACTGCCGACGTGAATTGGTAGGGGATGGATGGGTCACATGGCACTCAAAAAATTCGGGGATCGCTAGACAGGAGGCGCAAGACGCAAGACGAGATCAGAGCTGTGGAGGAACGAGTCCACTTACGAATAATGTCCGGCGATCGTCGCACCGGCCCAGAAAGCTTGTGCCTGGCTTCTTCGGTGACGAAGCTCACAATGTACCACGGAATTATGTGTGAGTTGATGAAGGGAGTCCAGACAATGTAGAGGTTGGGATTGTCGGGATCATCCACTCCGCTGTCGTAGCTCGTACTGCTCGGCAGAAATCTGTGGCACGATCCCGGCGAGACGGTCTCGCTCTCGCCCAGCACAACCTGTGCGAGAACAGCACAAATGGGAGTCAGTCAGAAATCCAGGAGCCAAATTCTCGGACGAGGGCCGAGACGAAGAGCAGGGATATGGGTCTGATATGGAAGCGGACAATCGAGGAGCAGGCAGGAGCTTGCCTCGCAGAGGAGAACGTGTTGCTCCTTGTTCTCGTCTTGCTCGGCGTACTGAGCGCTGACGTCGAGCTTGGAGAACGGGGCGAGGTACGTGCCGCAGCCGAAATTGTTGCCATTGAGCGACATGGGGCGCTGGCCGAACCCGTACATGACGATCGACACGATGGCGTCGGCCGAGCTGCCGTGCCAGGCGTGGCGCAGATTGGCATTGCCGCGCGACCTCTCCATGGACTGCATTTGCTCGCCGAAGTATCTCAATTTCGCCTCCGTGTTCAGCACCTTGTGCACGGCCGTGAGCCTGGGCCGCTTGCCATGCGGCGGCCGGCATCTGAACCCCTTGCTGAACACATCGTGCACCGCGCTGAACTCTTTGTGCCCGGGCTCGAGCACTGCGACCTTGTCCCCGAGCTTGGCGAAGGTTTCCACCGCCTTCGACTGGAAGGGGTATGGCAGCATCGAAGGGGCCGGCGCCTCCATCAGCATCCTCTCGGAGGAGTGCGGAGCGGCGGAGGATTTCGTCGAATCCTGCTTCCAGACGGTCCCGGCCATCATCATCCTGAGGCAGTCATCGCTCGGCAGCAGCTCTTGCCTCTCGAAAGGGTTCTCGAATCCGGCCACCTCTCTCGAGCCTCGGCACGAGCCCTCCCACGCGACGGATCGCACGTATCCGGTCTTGAGGTTCATTTGCGACTTCGTCCTGAAATCAATCTTGTACAGGCGATTCTCGCCCGCGGGCAGAACCACGGATTCACAGTTTCTTTGCAAGGCCGCCCCCAGCACAGCGTTGGCCTTGGACGGGAATTCCACCCATCTGATCGCATCCCAGTAGTAAAACCGCAGCAGCTCGAGCTCGAGCCGGGACGACGAGTCTGAGCTGAGTTTTTCTCCGTCCTCGTCGTCTTCGTCGTCTTCTTCGTCGTCATCTTCGTCTTTGTCTACTGTTGTTGTTGTCGCTGTTTTATCTCCATCGAGCTGACACATCTTTCTCTTCGGTGCGAGCGCTGGACTCATTTTCATCGTCCAAGGTTCTGGCGACGTTTGCCCCGGTGCACAGTTCAAATTCCACGACTGATCACTACGACAGGTACTACGACTAATCTCTTGCTCTTCCGAATCGGTCTCCAGGTCTACTTTCACTGCACCTGCGGACTCCGCCACGATCATCATCGCCTCGTCCGTCTCGTCTAGTTTGTCTGTGTGAGTGTGTGTGAGTGAGTCTGAATGTGTCTCGACGCCTTGCGCAGGTGCAACTAAGCACAAGCGTGCAGCATAGTTCAGATCAATCTGCCGTTTAGCACACGTCTCTCTCCAACTAGTCTACTTTAGTCTGATGATGGTACTCCGACCCGCTCAGAAAATCGGGTGCTAAGGTTGATACTGCAGCTGTATGTCAGTCTCTCTCCTCGTCAGATCGTCTCAGAAATCTTTCGTCGGCCTTCTTCTGCTTGTGCTTCTTCCTCTTCGTCTTCGTCGATCCTGGTTAAACCATCGTGATGATGATCGTGATCAAATCGAGCCTGCTACACTTACACATTCACTGAACCTGAATTTGACTACCCTCCCGTGGGCTCATCATCATCATCAACCTCTTCTACTTCCTCCTCCTCCTCCTCCTCCTCAAGATTTACGCGGTTGTGGTGCCGTAGCTTTTCCTCCGCGGTTCATTTGCAAGCTTCACCAGATTTTCCTCCACTTGCTTCGCCCGACAGCAGGAAATCGCAAATCTTTGATCTCTGATCTCTGATCTCTTACAGGTCGGGTATCTTCATCATCGGCGTCACGACCATTGATTTCATTCTCCCTTGCCCCTTCGCAGTGGCCCATCCATCCATCGCAACCAAGTCAGCAGGGTGGGTCGTCGGACACACGCAGAGCTAGATCTCTCTATTTCAACCTCGGCCTCGACCTCGACCTCAGAGACCGATGCGAGCTCGTTTCTCTCTTCCGGGCGGGCCAGTCGACCGACCGCTTGCTTCTGGCTTCTGCTTCGTAGCTAGCTTCAAGCTCCAAGCTTCTTCTTCTTCTGCTGCTCCTGCTTCTGCTGCTGATTCTTCTTCTTCTTCTTCTTCTCTCTTCTCTCTTCTCTTCTCTCGCTTGCACTGGCTCACTTCGCTTCCGCGATCATGAACGAGGCCCGATATTATTATACTGATCGAATGTATGCGTCGAGTCCCCAGACACTGGCGCTTTGCGGTCATGTGCCTCGTGGCGGGGACTGGGTCCAGCCGTCCGACCGTGCGGCGCAGCGAAACTTTGCGTCCGGCAGCGGTTCCGGCCGGAGTCCTCCCGCGTGCGACAAACGCGAGGAGTCCTTGTCCTCAACGCAATGTAGGACAGCGTTGAGGACAAGGAGTTTGCAACAGACTTCGCGAAAGAACGGGACAAGGCTGAGGACAGGCCCAGGACAGGCCTAGGACCGACTGTCCAGAGGCCGCAGCCGGTCCCAGGCCACCGGATACCCCCGGTAGCGTGTCCACGTCATCCTCGCTCTTTCCAAACACGCCCTCCCAAATTTATTCCATTCCGTATCCCGTAATTTCCAACTTTAGGTCTCGCCATGAGTAAAGAGGACTCGGCATTCCGCTCGCTCTTAAATATATTCCCTCGCTTGTCATATTAATCGCCTTTTTGTCGCAATTTCTGATGATCGCGATTCCAACTATTCCGCTCGTCTAACCCTACCCCCCTCCCCGGGTTTAGCCCATCGGCTCTATCCCCGGGATTAGCCCACTCGGGATTGGTCGTGTCGGGACCTTAAATTCAACGCCCCGGCGCTCGATTCATGCGAAGTCATCGTCTGACTTGCCCACCCTTCCCCCCTGGTCTTTGCGGGGGATATCCTTAGCACGATTCCCTGGGCGCGATCCGAAATTAGGGTTTGTAGGGGCTATTGACTGCGACTCAGACGGTTTAGATCTGATGGACACGGGAAAATCTTTAAGCGTGGGGTTAAACATTCTTGGTCCTCCGCGTGAACCGAGCCGGGGGCGCTCGGGCGAGGGGGGCAGACTCCGGGCTCGTCGCGTCGCTTAACCTACATGGCACAGGCCGGGGGGTTAGCTAGCCACCGGGGGGTTGGATATATCGCCGGCCTAAATTAGGAGGTTTGCAGGGAGCCGAGAATATTCGCGGCTGGAGGGGCTACAGGGCTCCCACAATCTGCAGTTGTGCGAATTCTTTGTCCTCGTCCTCGTTCCACAATTCTCCTCTTCGACCCGCGATCCGGAATGTTGCGAAGAATCAAATCAGCGTGAATCCCATGAGAGGCGGGCAGGCCCCGTTTCTCTTCCCATCCTGCGACGGACGGAACTCTGCTGGCTCCTTGGGTTTGTTGATCTCGAATATCATCCACACACTTGGCTCGAGTGCTCAACATTCTCCTTCGGATCTCGACTCATTAATGGGTGATCAACCTCCGTGGACGATCGACACTTCACGTCCTTTTCTGCATCAAAGCGGCTCTAGGCGGAATTTGCAGCCCTTTCTAAGGCTTAGCCTTCGAAAAGGCGATCTCGTTCGCCGTAACGACATTTGCTTCGGGCGGGCTTTCGATCGCAGACCGCTGCTGCTGCTCTTCACTCTCGGGCTCGAGTGAGATGCGCTTTTCATTATGCCGAGGCTTGCGATTTTAATTTTCTGTCCCTTCGTGGCCCGTGAAGAGCTGGCGAAATTCTCTGTGCATGCTCGTTATTGAATCAAACGTCATGAGCCTGCCTGCAAATAGTGAGAGAATTTCTGTTTCGCTCGGGTGAGCAGGTCGGGTCACTTACCAACTGGGCGCTTAGATTAGATTCCGAGCGAATTAGGTCACCTGAACTAATGACATTTGGGGATTTATGCAAAGCTCCGCTCCATCACGAGAATCCGAGATATAACGACTCCCATAAATGACCGACTGATCATTCCCGATGGCCATTTCGCCGAATATAATATGGCAGAATTGAATATTGTCAATCCGATAATTAGGCGCTGCGTCGAGACAGAGAGAGAGTCTGGGGCGGGCACTGCATACCCAACACCAATTACACTGATGCACTGTTCAAACAGAACTTCGACGTCATGCACACAAATTCATGTGCAAGGCCCTCACCGCGCTTGCATCCTCACCACTGCTTCAAGTATGATAAAATATAGTGTGCTGATCAACCTTGATGATTCATCGTGGTAATCTTATTGCAGTGAGCTGCTGTGAGATACCCATTTTGCTGTAATTACCAGGACCTTTTACATTCAATGCAGCCGAGGTGCCTCGCTTATTTTTTGCAGCAGTAAAGCGAACAAAGTACACCTAAGTTCACTCTGGAATATAGCCCCAAGTTGTTAGAATAAGTGTGCTCTCATTCATGACATGACATGTCCGCGAAATTTCTTAGCCGAATAAATTAGAAGCGTTTAGAGATTTAAGGGTATTTTAACGCAGCATGGGCAACCCTCCGGCTGGCATGGGAGCAAATCGGTCCGCCCACTTCTTTTTGCTTTCTTATGGCTTTGTTTATGGGTCCGGTCGCTGAATGTCTTTGCACATTCACAGCATATCCCACATGATCTAAACTTGTGTAATTTGGGGCTTCTCCAGGCCGAGCTCTTTTCCTCGAAGCAATACAAAAGGTGAAAAATGCGCCCTTTCTCATCCGATTTGTGTGGGCCAGATTTGAAACTTACCGGCCTCAAATCTTTCGGCCTGTCGTGAACTCAGCTCGGCTCGGGTGTCAGCAGAACCCCAAGCCGAGCGCTCCGTCGGATATTTTCCCCCGCCAGATCTCGCCCACATTTTGCCCGAATCGCTGTGCGACTCGGACGGAAGGAAGGAAGGAATTGACCACGAGAGGGCGGTACACCTGTTCGCGCTCGCTCGCGTTCACAGTGCAGGCTGTACGCAGCGAGAGCTTCGCGGTGAGTCAGGGGGACTTTATTTATTCCTGAGCCTGCGCCCCCTTGAAGTTGACGATCGATCGATGATGATCTGGACGAGCAGCATTGACCTTTCGATCAGGTGCTTCTCTGACATGTCAACAGATCCCAAACGCAGACGATGCACAATCCGAACAACCTTCTCCCCTCCCACAAGTGGCACGTACCATGACCCTCGACCGACGACGTACGACTCTTGCAGATGCAGATGCAGATCGGCTGACAGGCAGCCGTCGACCTCAGCAGCACCTCCAGGCAAAAAACAAAAGCAGTCCGCTGGTGGTGGACTTTACGGCCCACTTTATATGATTTGTGATGAGTGCCCGTGAGATGCTGTCGACATGCGATCTGAGCTGACTGCGTTTCCAAGCCCCATCCATACCCACGCTGGACGGAGAGACCAAGTTCTCACTCAAAGCATCGCCATCGCCACCTTTTTCGTCAAGCAACGTGAAGGTGTCGTCTACTCTGCAAAGGCTTGTTGCACCTCGTTCCAGTTGACAAGTCATTGCCTTCCTCGAGCACTTCTTCTCACCACTGGACGGGGTCGTCTTCATCAAGAGCATCAGCAGAATCAGGAGCAGAGTGAGCCTGAACTTCTTCTAGAAATATGGAATCTGAAATGACAGAAATATCGTCATCGCGAGGTGCGAGTACGACTCGTGACTGTATTGCAGTAAAATCCGAAATTCGATGGCTCGGAAGATTTTGTGAAATTAATTCGGACGACATTTTTCCTGTTCGCTAGGTCCCTCATCTGATATACTTAGAAACATCAATTTCTTGACATATTCATGTATCCACGTTTTACAAGAGGAAACGTCAGCTTTGCAACGTTTCGGAACTTTATTAGAAGTAGTCATGATGCAGATAATGGACCAAAATTAGAGATTCTTTTGTTAAGAGCTTCTCATAGAGATTTGCCATACGACAAGGTGATCTTGTTTTGGATCAAAGTATCAAACTGATCATTGATATTTTCCGATGATAAATTCAAAAATATCTTCGAAACTGAAGTTTTGATATGGAAAACACACTTCATTGTAATCCGTACCATTATATTTTTACCTTACCTTGGCCACCAACTTCAAATAGATATTTTTCTGCTTCAGTAGCTCTATCCTGTCATCCTTCTTAAGATCCACTTATTCTTTACCGAGGGGCAAAAATCATTGAATTTCCTTGTGTTTTTTTGTCTAAAAGCGGTATTATCTCTTTGCACATTGTTGCGTCCTACTTTTTCTTCTTGCTAGAAGCTTAATCTCGAGAGACTGAAGATGAATCTCAAGCCTCTAAATCCAATGCATCATATGGAGTATCAACATCAACTTCATCAGCTTTAATCACTCGGTGACAAGGAAATTCAGAACCACCCAAGGAACATAATGTTCAATTACAATATTCAAATGTCTTGTCATAGAAGACTCATAGTGATGCACAAATTGAAGATTCATGATCATACAATCTGTGAATCAGAAACAATTTCCTCCGTTTTCTTTCCACCATGGATGCAAACTGATCTCATGATACATCGTGAGAACTATAGGATGAAAACATTACTCTTCCATATTGAGTGAGAGTATTTTTCACTTCCTTTTATCATCTAGTCTCATTGGAAGAAACAATCTTATTGACAATTGTGACATTTTCATGATATGTAGATCTTCATACCACTGTGATATTTCCCATCAGACATAGTCTTTCATTACCATCCATTTTAATCAATTAACCACTTCCAGTAACATCTAAGCACATGAGCTATGTGTAGATTAATCACCTGAAATATGTGTCAATTTTATATGAGGTCTGGTACTCAATTGCACGACAAGAAGACAATTTATACATGTAAACAATGGTATTTAGAGCTCTAGTGCGAAACATTGTCGTAAACCAGCTTCACATGATTTAAATCTTGAGTTATGTAATGCGCTCTAAATACCATTGTTTCAAATAACAATGGTGTTTCAAATAACAATAAAAAATACTTGCACAGTAATTTATTTGCAAACATGAAATTATTTGTTTGTAGAGCATGAGATAGAGAGATACCACCTGACTTAGGAGAAAAAAATACTTGAGAATAAACTTTAAAATGTGCATTCCAGCACCAAATGTACCTCTGTTTTTTCCTAGTACATAACGCTCACATAACTCCAGCTTGCATGATCTCAACTCCCAGGATGTAATTACTTTCCTGTAGGATCGTAAACTCTATCTTTCTTGTGTGGCCATCTCCGAAAGATTGTAAATATAAATCTTTTCAAAAGATACGTTACAAAATGCTCGATGAAGTATTAATATACTGGCCAGTATGGAAAGATTCTTCTACCTTTTATCTTTCACGAGGAACTGGGTTTCAACTAAGACTCATAAAACTGATCATACATATTTTTTATACCATTTTGAATCTAAAACTCTAACACGTGTAAGTATAAGGTCACACATGCTTCAATATGTTCACATCCTAAGATTTTCAATAATTCAAAATTCAAAAATTTGCAGGAATGATCAATTTTCCTGAAGACTAAATGATTGGATGGTATTTGTGTATCAGATTTCTTGTGTGATATATAATATAACATCAAGATGAATCTAAAAACTTTTCTTCATTTTTACAAAGCTGAAACGTCTTATAAAGATTTTATGTTTCATCACATGAGTTCAAAACTTATCAATATGAGTTCAATCATTCTCAGGTGAAAATCGTTGTACATTTACAAATGTTTTTAGGGAAATTCAAATTTTTTTCTTTAATGAAATAATATGAAATATTGGGAATTGAGAGTTGAGATTAAAGAAGCTTATCTCAACAATGAATTTGTTAAAATGTCTCTCTCTCTCTATATATATATATATATAGAGAGAGAGAGAGAAATAAATATGTATATATACATATTTATTTATTACGAGGTTGTTCATATATTATTTGAAATTACAAATACAAAAAACCAAATTTTGAAAGTGTCCTTTAGGGCAAGAACAGTATGTGACTACATAGCAATTGATAGATATTGCTGATCAAAATAGATCTTTTGAAAATCCAATCACCATGTATCATGAAGATATCAACAACTTTAAAAAAAATGCTGTTTCGAATCTACTAATCTGTACATTCAGATGAGATGCTTCGTGTAGATTATAGTATCTCACCTTGAACATGTATATCAGTCCCATCATTAACCCAAGAACTCCAAGTTTTCACTCCTTCAGGTCAAACAAAAAACGGAGTAACTGATTTCAAAAATAATGTTGGTCACTATATTTGTCAATACCACATTCTATAATGCTCAGAATTCCACATCAGCATATGCAAGGCATGGTCTGCAGTCCAGAAATGACACTTGATCGTCGAGAGGAGTCTGAGGAATGGAGTCTTAGTAGAGCCATGAGCTTATTATATTATCGAAGCTCGAGCTTCGTAAAGGATACTTCAGAAGTGTCCCTCGAACAGCCACGGAGCTTCACTCACGAAGAAGTAAGAAAGAATTGGAGAATTGGAGAAAGGATGGAACCATGGCTGACCTCACACTGTGGCAGTGGAGCCAGTTTTCATATCGATGTATTTGTCAGTGCATGGGAATGGGACGACCCAAGCTCGAACCGAGGTGAGATTTTGGGGTCGATCGACTTCATCTAAGCATCCAGAACTGAAGAAAGCGATGGCCAGAAAGAAGAAGGGTCGAGCACCGATTTGCAAACTGCGGACGGGACGAACATTATTCTCGGAGAAGCAAAGACGGTCGTGTGAAATCTGCAATCGTCAAAGGAAGCGGCAAATCGGAGAGTGGAATTGGCAGCGATTGAATTGAGTACAGGATTCGATCGCTGCAAGGCGAAACGTGGGCACCTGGGCTCACAGGAAGGCTTGTCGCCGTCTGGACTCGAGTGGAGAATTCTGCATGATGACGCAAGGGGAATAAGGAACAGAGGCGATGGGGGCCCAAGCGAGAGCAAGGGAGAATCAATGTTTTGTGGATCCGGACGAGGAGCGGAGCGCGTGACGTGGGCGATCACAGATGGATGAAGAATATTCGACGGCTCATGATACATGGATGGCCTTGGTGCCAATGCCGCTGCTGTAGCGAACGCAGGAGCGCAGGAATCGTGAAATGGACTTTGGCCCTTGCGGGGGCACGACAATTCGAGTACACAGGAAACATCAGGGCCTCGGGGGCGGATAAAATGCTAGGTCGACGGGAAGGACACGCGCCAGGGACGGGCCTGGCGATCACTGTATCCGAGGAGATGAGACTCCATGAGAGCGCGAAATCACTATGCGCGCCCGGAAAAGAGGAACTTGTTGGGTCGGTCAAAAGCGGTTTGGGTCCATTATTGGCAGGCTCCAGCTTTAGAGGAGGGGACAGACAGAGTCACAGAGCTTAAGGCTAAGAAAAGTCCTCGGGCGCTCGAACATGGGGTCGTGGACTGGGCAAGTGTGGTGAGAATGTTAGGACACTGCAAGGACGACAAAGCACATTACGTGTGCTGATGGAATCCATGCGAACATGAGAAATCTGCCATGTCATGTTCATTAATTGCGTTGTCGAGGGTTCTTACAGACTTCGCGTCATCGTGTAGCATGTCCGTGACCTCCGTCAGACAATGTTTCTCGCTGCGCTCTCGCCTCCTTTATGATCAGAATCCCCCGCTCGCCCTTCAGGTCTCCGCTCTTCGACCCGGCCTTCCATCTGTCAGCCCTGGACCATATATTTATAGAGATCCCTCACTGGCACGAGTTTTTGCGTCGCAAACAAATATGTCGCCCTGCCCTCGCCCTCGCCCGCATCATGGCTTCGTCCCGCCAACGCAGCTCGCTTCGTCTCGGGCCTCTCCGGGCTCGAGCCTGCGCTCGCTCCACTTGAATTTTGTCAGCCGATTGAATGGCGGTGCTCTCGCATACTCATAATCACTGTGCGCAAATCGCCTCGTTAGTATGCAGGACTTTCCAGAAGCTTTCGCGCCCCCCTGCCATAGACTCGGGCCGTCCGTCCGTCCCGTGTACATGTGGCCTCGTCCTAATTATAGTGTATCTGATCCTCATACTTCACGAATACGGGCGCCCTCGTTGCTCTGGTTGCCCTTCGGTGCGTGAGTCGGGCCATTAAAAAAATTAAAATTCCAGCTCCCGAGAGTCGGTGCAAGTTGACCGATGGCCGATCACGATTTTGTGCGAGATCCTCGTTCCTGGACATGTTATTCCAAAGGGTCGACATGTCGAGACTTCGTCATGTGGCTTCGCAAGATGACTCGAGCCCCATGCAAACGACGCTGCCTGCCAAACAAGACCGACTCAGCTCATCCCATCCCATCCCCACTCGAGCTCTGATATCCCAAGTACAGAAGTCCATGTATCCGTGTCGGATGTTGCACTGATTCGCGATCTCGATATCACGACCGAGGAAACAAGATAAGTATGTACAAGTGTGTACGTGCGGTGGTCGACGGTGTAAGCATGTCGGTGTCCGATCCGCTCGTATTATAATATATATGCTCCGAGTGGAAAGAACTTGAAAAATACACACAGGTCCTGAGATGGAGCCTAATGAACATCAAGTTGGCAGTTGTCTTGTTGTTAGTCAGGGATCTGGTTAGTCAAGAGCTGGTTTATCGTGCCAACGCGTTGAGCTTTCAGGTGAGGTCGCTGCTTAATGAACGATGATAGGCATGTTGGCATGTGGGGACAAGGGTGCTACTCTCGAATTTGTGCTATCATTACTAAAAGAGACTTGCCAATAATTGCCTCCAAATCCACAATGAGAAGCGAGATTTGTTATTGAAAGCATGCAACTATCTGAAACTCATGATCATTAGCGCAACGTAGCAGTTCTTCGTTGCTGTTCTTCTGGTTCAGACATCATCTTCCAGCACCACT